TGCTGTACTAACCTCCTGCTGTTACAGCAAGAGGTTCCCAAGCAGTCAGTGTATGTAACAGAGTGACGCTGTGGAAGCTAATTCTCTAATCATTATCCTTTCTTTCAGGCAGATGACCACAGACTTTTTCCTAATCCACACAGTATTCATTTAGAATCACAGTAACAGAAAGAAAGTCAGTTACCCTCTCCGCAGTTCCACCTGGCCGAAAACCAGTGATGGTCACTTTTAAGGATGTAGCCTGGACCTTCAAGTCAGGACTATCTGATTCATCGACTCTGCCTGTCCGGTCTGCTGTCTCCGAGCCACTGAGCCTGGTTTCAGCTGCAGGCCTCTTGCAGTGCGGGCTGATCCTGGCCACCGGCTTGTGCCTGGACCCCAGGTGTTCATTCTTCGGCTGGGGGGAGCTGGGGCACTCCATGCTCTTCAGACTTTGGGTGTCTGGGCTGCCTTTGTACTCTGGTTGAGGTGGACTCCTCCCTTCTGATGGTTCCTTCTTCCCTGAGCAGCGAGGGCTGCCCTTGGGGCCCTCTGTAGGGCCTAGCAGGTTGGCTTCATGGGAACGAGAGCCCACCAGATCCCCTGGAACACTCTCCCCCGAGTCCAGTGAGCCACCAAGGAAAGGTGCGGAGATTGCCTTGCTGACCAGTGTCTTCCGGGGTGGCTCCTGTTGACTGTTGACATCCATGACCTTGGGCAAGGCTGGAATGACATGCCCAGAATCATCCTCTGTCTGAGGCCTGCTGGGACCTGAGAGGGTCCCTGGGAGTGAAACAGAGTCCGCTTCTCCATCAAAGTCTTCCTCATCACTGGCATCATCAGCATCATAGCAACCTACCCTTCTCTGACGGAGGAGAGGATTTCGGGGGACCTGTGGGCTTCCAGGGAGGCTGGTTTGTCTGGCAATGGTCACCTGCTTATGGAAGAGCCCAGAGACTCTCTGGCTTCCGAGAGACACAAGACTGTTGGCTCTGGCTTTTCCTGGCTCCTTGTGAGCTGGGAAGGGAGGGGTGGAGGTGAGGGTAGGAAAGAAAAGTAAAATGAAATTGACTTTCCCCTCTGGCCTGGGCTTATCCCAATCATTACGTATGAGCATTTCCACATTCACAAAGGCCAGATACACAGCCCCAGCCACTGGACACCAGGCTTCAATGATATGGCTTCTCGAGAGCTACAGAGGGATAGCCACTGTCCTCTTTTCTTTTTCTATCAGCCTTACCTCCCCTTTTCTTAAAACCCCAAACTCTGGATTACTTATCTCACTCAGACACGTGTGCTGCCTAGAGACAGAGCCTATAATTCTTCAACCTCCATGATGTCTAACTGGGGTCCACCTAACTGCTGTCCAGAGAATGCTGATCTAGAAGGAATGCCTGGGGACTAAGCAAGTCCTACCTGTGCCTTCGTAGTCAAGTGATATCCTTCTTTGTTGTGAAAAGGGGGGCTCGATAAACTGGCACATAAATTCCTAGACCACCACCCATCTGTCTGTTTGTCGTATTGTAGTGGCTCGTGCATTGTGTGATGCTGGAAGCTATGCCACCAGTATTTCAAATACCAACAGGATCACCTATGGTGACAGGTTTCAATGGAGCTGCAGGACTAAGACAGACTAGCAAGAAAGGACTGGTGATTGACTTAGAAAATTAGTGTAAACCCCATCGATCACAAGAGAATACTAATACTGTCCAATGTAGTATTGGAAGATGGGCCCCTGGGCTGGAAGGCACTCAGAATGCATGGTGGATGCAGTGATGGACTCAACCCTACCCACAGTCATGGAGATGGTGCAGGACCGGGCAATGAGCTGGAGCTGAATTGACAAGAAGCCCCTGGGGCACAGTACAGTGACAGTGGAGTTGTCCTGCTTCTCAGAGATGATCTACGGAAACTCCAACCAGGGAGGGAACAGACGGATGGGCCGCCCTGCAAACTCTTGCTAAATGCAGTGAGAAGTGACATGCACTTCCACTTTGAGATGCTTCCGTCAGAGATTAGAGTGAGCTCATCAGTTGTGCGACCAGTGAGAATCAGCACTGTCATCATCTGTCTCTCCTAAAATGGGGATTTTATTGTTCAGACGCTACAAATAAAACCGGAAATAGTGCCAGCAGAAACCTGAGAAATCAGCTCACATCTGATTATTACCTCTTGTTATTTTAAGCAGATAATCAAAGAGATTAAAAAAAACAACAACCTTTGAACAGCATTTGTCTTCTACCAGTTCTGAATCTTTCACCTACTGAACTTCTAAACAAAGTTAGGGCTTAGTGAGGGAAGGGACCTGGAAATTCAGCTGGGAGTCTTCTAACAGGTAGCCCCAAGGTTGCCAAGCCTGATATGCAAATGGGGTTTAAAGGTGGTTTAGCCTTCTTCAACCCATGGCACAGAATGTATACTCACCCCGTTACTGTGTAATCGAGTGCCCAGTTATTAACAGTGGCCATGTTTTCCAAGAATAAACTCTATTATGTAGTCAGGGCAGAAAGGTCGCTTCTACTTAAAGAGAGGCATGGTTTCTAGATCTCTTTTTATATGACAGCAACCTGGCCTCCAGTGTGGAGTCAGAAAACCCAGAAACGGCACTTCTGCCTAGAACACAGAATCTGGGCCCTGCGGGGCTCTCCTGCTTACTGGAGGTGCTGGGGGGCAAGCTGCCATCTTCTGAAGTGCTGCAGCCACCTCCGGGGTGATCCTCGTCCTCGGAGCCGGCCACCACGAAGTCTGACAAGGGGCCCGGGATGTCATGGGCAAAGTACTGGGAGAGTTCAGATTCGGAAATCAGGGAGTCCTGGTGGAGTAAGAAACACAGGCTGAGTGACGATGACGTACCAGATGCTTGTTCTTTGAAACAAACAGTACAAGCAGTCTGCGACTTATGATGTCTTTGAGTTATGGGGAATCACACTGAACACTATCATGTATTTTTTTGTACAGCTTAGTAATATATACTATACACAGTGCTGCTGATATGCTCAGGTGTAATGTTTCCAACTCCCAAAGACATGAATCAGATTTATGAAGATACTACTAATTAAAAGGCAATAATAGCAACAACAAAATGAAGTGGTTGACTTAGTTAGAACTGACTTAAAATACAGTCATTGGAATGGAACACTGTCATAAGTTGGGGCCTACCTGTACTTACTTTCTATCTTTCCAAGTGCACATTGTTCTAACCCATGGAACTTAACCTACCCGTCCCCCTCCCCCAACACATCCAGGGATAAATTTCAGCCAAACAAGCAGGACTATGGAGTGAACAGGAACACTTGTGAGGAAAATATTCTTCAGAATAATCAAACATAGAAGACCAAAAGGGCAGCATCTGCCCCAAACAAAGCTCAGAAGGCAGTAAGGGGCAGGAAAGACGGACAAACGGAAATGGGGAGCCCAGGGAGAAAGTGGGAGGAGTACGGTTACATCGAGGGAAGTGCAGCTAATGTTTTGAAACAAAATGTGTATAAATTGCTGAATGGAAAATTAATTTGATCTGCAAATTTTCACCCAAATCACAAATAAATAAATAAATAAAATTTCAGGACTTTTTCTCCTAATTTTTTTACAACTTCAAATTTAATTGCATTGTGGTCATATGAGATGGACTATTCTATATGATATCAATTATTTTAAAATTGTGACGACTTAACAGCCTAAGACATAGTTAATTTTTAAAAATGTTTGTGAGGAGAAGAAAGTATATTCTCTATTTTTTAAAGAAACCAAACTCACTGCTGTTGAGTCAGTTCCAACTCATAGCGACCTCTCCTTGGGTTTCCGAGGAGGTATCTCTACAGAAGTAGATTGTCCAAACTTCCTTCCGAGGAGTGGCCAGGTGGGTTTGAACCGCCAGCCTTCTGGTTAGCAGTTAAGTGCCTTAGGTACTATGCTACCAGAGCTCCCATTCTCTATTTGGTACATCAATTAAATAAATTTTGTTAGTGCTGGTGGTTAGAAAAACCAGAAATCTATGGAGCACATTTCTGCTCTGACATGCATGGGGTCAACATGAGTTGGTTTACTGGTCAAAAGTGGTTTGAGGTCAAACTGAGTGAGGCAGCAAGTACACCTTGACTTACCTTTTTTGTAAGAGAAGGACTCTTCAAAGGAGTACCTATTGAGGGGAAAATCCACCATATTGTCAAAACAATGAAACTCAAATCACAAATAGACTCACATCCTTAACTGAAAAAGAAGGAGCCATTAAAGAAACTCCCCCTGCTAGGCTGGTGCTGATGGGCCATGTGAGTAAGTTATAGACGTACATGCTATTTATTTGGTACCCAACGCCTACTCCATCTCACCTCCCAAGAATCTGGTTATCCTTCAAGCCCTAATTTGGATGCTATTACCTCTATGATGATCCCAGTTGGAAGTAATTTCTTCTGAGTTTCCAAGGGATTTTATACTACTTATATATCAATTTCAATAAAAAGCAGTATAACTTAATTATAAGTGAATGTGTCTTATCTCCCTTCCTCAACTGACTTACTTCTTATAGAGCAGATATGTTCACTTCTCTGAGTATTACCCCACAAGCTTCAGCATCACACTTGGTACCTAGTAAGTATTAAGTGATACTTGCTGAAAGACTAAAGGATGAATGAGCAAATTGACATCCTCTAAGGAAATCATGGAGGAACTGGGGAGAAGGTTGAATATCTATTTAGGTTTTTAATTACAGGATGAAAAGGCTTAGCATCAAGACTTTAAGTTAGATGTCATGGGCAAAAATATCTTGGGCATGAGAGCCATGGCTTTATGAAATCTTCTAGCAATGATCAAGTTGAGGTGTTGGGGAGGTTAACAGCACAACTTTCAGGCAGGTCAGGATAATGAACTGGCTGAACAAAGAGCCTATGATGTTGGCTCACTTGCAATACATTAATTCTGGATGCAAATAATTGGGGTATTTCATGGTTGCCAAAAACTCCTATGCCCCCTTTTCCTCTGACAGACAACCAGTAACTCATGGCTCAGTTCCTTTTCCTCTAAGCATCAATCTCAACATCAGTAAGATCTTAAGCTCAGAAATGTTTGATGGCCCTCATGCTACAGGAAACAGTTTGAAAACTAGAAGCAATATTTCTTAGTTTAAATTCATATGAAAGTCTTACTATCTTACTCTGTCTCTGCCTGAACGTTTCCCTTTAGGATGGGAGAAATCATGACTGTTGCACCCTTTATTATTCCATTTTGAGTTGAAACTCTTAATTTATGTAAAGAAACCCCAGGTTTGGGGTAGATAATATTCTGCATCTACCAAGCAACTGATATTTTGCTATCACTTCACTGTCACGTTGCCACACAGATGAATCATGCATAAACACGCGAGGTACTGCAAACTCACTTTTGGAAATTATTCTAAAGTAGTCTAAGAGGCATGCATGATTAGATCTTTGATGAAACCCATTAAATAACTGCAGAAATCAAAAGTAACCCCCAGGGGAAGGATAGAATCTCTCTGACAGCTACTTTCGTCTAACCTGATAATTACAAAGAATCCAATAATATTGCACTGGGAAGTGCTCCATGGGGGAACGTAATGAGAAACTCTTCTGAATGTTGAATGAAAATGTCAATTACTGTACCTAAGCCAGGAGAGGAATTGGCCTCTTTGTTCTCTTGGTAAGTGCTGCGTGCTATCACTTCATCCATTTCCTGCTCGGAAACCTGATTTTCAGCAGAAAGCACAGATTAGATGGTTTTATTTATTTTTCCCACTACAAGTAACTAGAACCAGAATCAGAGGTTGAAAGCAGATAAAAAAGCAAACCACAGAGTCAATGGTTATAGTCATCCTCAGAAACAAAAACTTAGGGCATATAAGAAGTATAGCCGGGTTAATGGATTGGTTCAAACAATGTCTATGTAACTTTCAACTGGTTCCCAAGTTCATTAAGCAAAGCATTCTATGACTACCAACAATGTGGCTGGTATCTGCAACTCTCTAGAATGCTCACTTCCAATTCTCTTTAAAATTTTTTTAAAAAATTTTAATCCTACAGAAAAGGTACAGGAGTAGTACTATGCCTTTCACCTGTTGTTAGGTGTGGTCACTCTGACTCATAGTAACCCTATGTACAAAAAACGAAACACTGCCCCATCCTGTGCTGTCCTCACAATCTTTGCTGTGCTTGAGTCAATCATTGCAGCCACTGTGTCAATCCATCTTGTTGAAGGTCTTCCTCTTTTTTGCTGACCCTTTACTTTACCAAGCATGATATCCTTCTCCATTGATACCAAACAGTTGCCTAATACACATTTCATATTCAAATTTAGCTACTTGTCCAATACTGTCCTTTAGAAGTATGACTCAAAGTATGTCTGTAGACTGGAACTGGTTCATAAAATGTTTGATGCTGCTCTGTAATGAGATAAGAAATTTCCTTCAACAATGCAAATCAACACATAGCTTCCTTCATCAGCAATGTCTTGATATAGAAAAATGTCAACTGAACTAAATGGTGTGTATAGTGATGTAATGGATTTACTTTCAGGTGCAAGCTCCTTATCTTGTTGCAGATCCATGGTAGACTGTCATAGACCAACTTCTTTTTTCAGTAATGCTTTATAGCAGTTTTTTTTTTGGCTAATCCAGTATTCAATCCAGGATCTAGTCATGTGTCTTTGGTTTCTTTTAATCTGAATCAGTTCCTTAGCCTTTCTTTGTTTATCTTGATATTTTGGAAAAGTCCAAACTCTAAATTGGGATTTGCCCAAGAGTTTCCTCAAGCTTAGATTCAGATTATGCATTTTTTTTTTTTTCTAGGCAAGAAACTACATACATAATTCCCTTCTCAGTGCATCACAGAGGCACTCAGTGTCAGTGTGTCTCATCATAGGTGGCGATAACTTTGACTTCTTGATTAAGAAGGAATTTGCCAGATTTCCCCACTGGAATTATTATTATTTTTGTCTATGTGATCTCTGTGCAGATAATTGGAGACTATGGAAATATTCTGCTCCCCATTTTTTTCACCCAATGGTTTTAGCATCCATTCCTCTTTCCTGAATCAATCATTACTATGACATTTCCAAAATAGCAGTTCTGTAGCTCTGTTTTTTTTATATTTATTGGTATCACAATAGATTAGTGGATTTTTAAAAATGGGTCATCTATGACTATTCTTATTTATAAGAAAACTTTTTAATCCCAATTTATACTTAAATGTAGGATATTTCATAAGACCACTAGTAGGCTTTATTTTTTAGAGGTAAGAATATTTTTACACTTAGAATGGTAATTCTGTGTACTAAAATAACATTTAGCATAATAACATTTGGATGATAAGCAGGGCAATTTGTCTTAATCAGTAAATAAATACTTCTACAGAGGATTCAGCATTACATTTTAATCTAATGGATAAATCATGATCACATAACATTGTGGTCTTTATGTAATATTGTCCAATAGGGTTCATAGGAAAATAATATGTACACACACATACACAGACATATACACATGCGTATACACACATACCTCCATAAAACAAAATATAATATTGTATGAATGAGCCAGGAGAAATGTCAGCTTAAATAATGGTTGCTATTTCTCTTGTGAACTTGTTTCTTTCTGTTGCTATGAATTAAAAACTGACTTGATGGCATCAAATAACAACATTTTTCTTTGGACTTCCTGAGTGGATATATTTTCATCTTTCACCCTATCAGGGAAGTTCTCTTCCAACAAATCTTGGATAATCTTCTCAGTGTTTTTTTTTCTCTTCCTATTCTGGAATTCCAATAACACATAGATTATTCCTTTTGATGGTATCCCACATGAACCTTAGGCTTTCTTCATTTTGTTTTGATCTTTTTTCTGATTGATTCCTTTCCAAAGAAGTAACACATAGATTATTCCTTTTGATGGTATCCCACATGAACCTTAGGCTTTCTTCATTTTGTTTTGATCTTTTTTCTGATTGATTCCTTTCCAGAGAAGTATTCAGGGGTTTGGCTTCAATCTCATTAATTCTGTTTTCCATTGATTCAATTCTACTCCCTTGTCCTTTCAATGTGTTATCTTTTTCTGAAAATTTAGTATTAATCTTCTGGATTTCTATCTGTAGATTTTGTGTCATTTCTAATTTTTCATTTATTTTGTCATTTTGCTCCTGTATTTTCTTCTAAATCGTTCTAGGGTTTTGTCTGTGTTTTCCTTAATTTTGTCAGTGTTTTCCTTGATCTGTCTCTCAGTGTTTTGAATGTACCTAAGTAAAATTCTTCTGAATTCTTTATCAGGGAGTTCCAATGCTGCTGCTTCTTCAGAGATGTGTTCTGGGCCTGTATCCTGCTCCCTTGTGTCTACCACTTTATCTTGCTTCTTTGTGTGGACTGTGATGGTCTGTTGTCTCTGAGACACTGTGATGTTGTTGTATTTATATCTCTGTTAAGTCTTTGTGAAAAGCAGTTAAATGCCAGGCTCTTATTGGTGGTCATGTATCATTGGCCTGTTGGTGCAGAAGGACGTGGTGGTTCTCACTCAGTAAGTGGAGCTGCAGGAGGTGTGGGTCTGGCTAGGTCACATGGGCACGGTTGCTGTCTCCCACTCAGTTAAACAAAAACAACAATCAAAAAACCATCAAAAAAGTAAAAGCACGAGACAAAAAACACACACAGAGTAAACACAAAGGAACAATCACCAAAAAGCGAAAATTTTTTTTTTTTTAAATGAGGAAAGTCAATAAATGAGAGAAAATCTTTAAAGAAATACTTTAAAAAGCCAAAAGAAATATGAATAGAAAAAAGGAAAAGAAAAGAAAAGAAAAACCCCACAATATCTGGGAATGGGGGAATAAGAGAAAAGAGGTAGAGTAGGAGAATAATGAAAAAAAAAAGAAAAAAAAAAGGGAAAAATTCAAAAAGAAAAACAAGGAATAGGGAGAACCAAAAGAAAGAAAAAAATGGGAACCAGGAAAAGGGAAGAGAGAAAAAGCTGAAAACTAGAACTAGAATGGGAGGGAAAGAAGAAAGAATAATAATACAAAGGAAGAAAAAAATAATAATTTTAAAACAGACAAAACAAACAAACTAAAAAAGAAAAGACAAGGAAAAAAAAATTGGGTGCAGCAGGGCTCCATCACAGCATACAAGCTGGGATGGAATTCTGGCCCAAAAGGTGGGTGGGAGCGAGGGATGGCCACACCTCCGTTCACCAAGTGGGTGTGGGGTATAAGAGTAACAAGGGGAATATTGCATCTTTCCAGTCCTCAGTGTCTGGAATGTCCTTGTGGTCCCTGGCAAGTGGAGCCTATGCTCAGGTCCCTGGAATCTGGGAGAACGCTGTAACTTTAAGTAATCCAAAATGATCAAACCACTTGTAAACATTCAAAATGGCTGCACCCTCTGGATAGCCAAAAGTCCACAGTTCAGCCCATCTCCCTCTTTGCTGCTTCCCTTTTTATTCACCAGCCACCACTACAGTCCTCTGTGCAGCCCCTGGCTAGCAGGGCTGTTCTTAGGTTAATTCTTAGGTCTTAACATCATGTGGCCACATCCAAGCTGTCTGTGCCGTCAGGATCACTGACAAACCGCAGCTCCTTATGTCTCCTTTTTTGGTGTTTCCACACAGGTTCTACTAGTTGGAGTTTAGTCCACTTCTGTATCCTTTGTTTCAAAGCTCAGGGCTTCAGGATGATCTTCTGTATCTGTTAATTGGTTCCTCTTTTCTTTGTCAGAGAGAGTCTGTGTAGTTTGTCTGCCTATTCCACCATCTTATTGGACCTCAACAACATTTTTCTTAATGCTAGACTTTCATTTTTGCAATTGTTTTTCTGAATGGGTAAACACAGTTGGGGTTTGAAATGAGTGAAGGGTTTCCTGGATAATTATAATCATGCTGAAGCCTCTGATACTAATTAAAAATGACTCTCTATTGGTTTATTCTATTTAGCACAAGCTAGAAACTGCTACCTTAGCAGGTCCAAATCTTAGCTTGTCTAGACCTAGATGGTTTGCATATGCCGACAGGGCAGCCATTGCTGTCATTGTTATGAGAAACAGAAGAAAATTTTTGTGGTATTTATCTTGGAATAAGATAAAAACCAAGGAAGCACATACATTCAGTATGAAAATGTACTGTTGGCATGAGATGCTAGGGTAAGTGGTACAAAAATACATTAAACATAAAATGGAGTCTTGACCAAAAGAAAAATACAGTATGATGTTACAACTAAGAACACCATGTTTAGCTAAGAAGAAATGTAAAATCCAGCCAAACAGTGTAATTTGGTTTTGACTGTGGCTGGAAACATAACTTGACCTATGCATTCAACGAGATCACAGACCACCAGTCCATCAGGATTATTATGCTTTGCACTGAAATGCCATGCTGATGTCTGTATTGGCAATTGGCAAATGAGGCAGACAGTCTCAGGCTAAGATGAACTGGGCCACTGAACAAATCATGACCCATGTTTTAACCTGGAAAGGATTCTGAAGACAGACATGCCTAGGAGTCGATGACTGCAAACCACTGAGGACTTATTTTTCTATAATGCTGCTAAGGGGTCTGCTACGCTAGCCACAGTCTATTTGGACTGCTTCCTGTGGTAAAAGGAGGCGGTGTGAGTGGTGGACTCCAAGTGAGGACCGTGGAGGAAAGAGCTGAGAATGGCTCTAGTTGTGAATATGAGGCAAAGTTGTGTTAAAAGTGACCTAAAGAGAGCCAT